GTTCGGTAAAGTGAAGGCAGCTCTCTTGTTATTGTCGCCTGAGGTTTGGCTTATTTTCATAAGCTAAAGGTGAGAAAATAGCTTAAAGGTACATCACACGTAATTCAGCTGTCACTTGACATCATTTCGCTGTGGCTGGTCTTGTGAGTCGAAACTATGCAAAAGTGAATTAAGTCAGTTATCGTTAAGACAGTTAAATTACAGTATAATTCATACTTTGAAAGGTATAAGCGATAGAATGCGAAATGTAAAGCACACACTAACCTAATGACAAACTCTCTCCGACGTGATACTCTTAAATAAACGAGGCTGTGAAAACTCAGTCATTGTCGTACAAACGCCACATTTAATGTGAGGGAAATATTATTACCAAAATTGCGTTAGGTTATAATTATGTGCTGTTTTGTAAGTTTAGAATCCGATTTTTTGTTTAAAATGTTGACACTCACGTAAATAAACGAAGCTATCTCGACTTTAAAACGACCCATCGTATGTAGCATCCGTTATGTCATATCGTTAAAAGGTTGAGGTGGGAAAAAATGTGCCAGTTGTTTATAAGGGTGTAAGATGTGGTCTTTTACCTTGGGGGGAAGGGGGGAATACGTGAATCACAGGGAACCAGCTGTTTATAAGGGTGTAAGATGTGGTCTCTTACCTTGGGGCGAAGGGGGGAATACGTGAATCACAGGGAACATTTTTGAATTTAAAATGTTAAGGAAAATATGTGGATCTAGAGAGTAGAACATAACGTTAAGGCTTCGTGATGTGTACACCTCATGTACTATCCATACAGCAATTAACTGAAGAGAGTCTCATTTGTTCGAATATGCATCTTTTAAAGGGGAAACAAGAAATGTGTACATATTTTTTGTGGTCCTCATTCCTTACCATTTTCCTTTTCCTTTATCCACGAGGTATTATGTAACTGCAGTAGCACTTGTAAAACAATATTCTGCCATCTAGCGTCGTTATTGAGAACTTGATCAGTCATTTATAACATACACGTCATAACAGTATCCTATTATATACATATATAATATGATAATGTTTATGAACATAATATTACTCAGGTTGTAACGCTATAGAATTTTGGCTGGGTTACCAGTTATATTGACTGAGGTGTCTCATGATCTTAGTCTCTCCAGGTGACTACAGAGATAGTGCCTGAGTAGACTACGATAACTTCATTTCAAATACTTAGCTATTTATTATTCATCATCGTCTTTCCATCTTATTCTGTGCTGTATAACCTCTGGATTTGTAATACAGATGCTAAATAACCTAAGAATTAATCCATAATTTCTTCTTACGACTATTTTAAGTATCAGTAAGTAGTACATAAAAAGTCAACTATTAAGTATTTTTACCCAGCAAACTCCCATGAAATATTTCTCGTAACTCCCTTCCCCAAGTGATTCGCCACCCACAGTTTGGTAACCACTTACCTGGCTTAAGAGATAGTCCACTTACGATTCAAGCCTCGCTATTGTAATTACATGCGACCTACAGAAATTGGTGTCGTGATTATAACACGTGGGGTGGAGTGGGGGCGTGGTGCCATATAATCTTATAATATCCACCTCGTCGATTCAATTTGTTCACACTCTGCAGCACACTCTAGCGTGTTCTTTCTGGCCTAGGAGACAGCGGCTGAGTTCATTATTAAAATGTAGCCGTTATCCAAGAGGGAGCACTGTACAGGCTTTGTTTTATGACGGGAGGTTGTGGGAGGAACCGCAGACACACACAATTGCCAGAGGGCGCCCATCATCGTGTTGTACAAATATGCTATTTTGTGGTGACCTCTGACCTGCGCGAGAGACACAGGGATCTACGAGTACAGGAAGCAGACCGGAAAGGCTTGATGTGAGGCAGTGACAGCATAACTATGGATCTGTTTTAAAACTTCTGTCATCAACAAACTGACCTACATACGGGTTGAGAACTATATCCATGAGAGTGGTCTCGACTAAGTTTCTTGCCAGCCAAAACTTTGCCACCTCCATAAAATAAATGTACTGTATTATCTTTCGGCGACGGAATTCCGTAAAGAGTTGAGTACAATTTTTTTCATGCAGGGGAGTTAGTTTAAGCGGTATCGCAACCCTCGAAATGTACCAGCTTCGACTTTCGGAACAGGCACTAGTTAACTCGATTAAGATTTCCTTAGTTCTGTGGGAGATTCGTGTAAATCAGAAGTTATATTTAGCTGGTATGGACCGACAACGCCTGACAACCATTAATGTAATCTCCCATATTATAATTAATATACTATAATATAATTTCATTGAGTAGTTTCAGATATGACAATTGTGGACAAGAAAAGACTTCCTGATGTTACGTTAATTTTTGATACGTTTTACATAAAACACATGAAAAACTACAAATTTAGTTTGCAGAAACTTCTCTGTGAATGTCGTTTATGTTATCAAGGCCATTTAAATTAAACCATCATAACAAGGCGTCCTTAAAGAGCAACGGAAATTGCAGCATATTTTAAGAAAACCACTCATGCCGCCTTTTATAAGATTTCTTACAATGACCATGGGTATGCTGTTCTCATTAATGCATCCAATTATTAACAGTGATGATTTAACGAGCGGTGACCGATGTGAATGGTTGGTTTAGGCGGCCACGTTCGGGCCCATTGAACTCAACGCTGCATTTCCTGCGGTGATCATCTTTAGTAAGTACAGTCGCTTTTCTGTAGCAAAGACTGCTTAGAACGATATCCAATGAGAACATTATTTTCCCGTTTTATACCAATTTTGCGCAACCAAGAAGTTACTCGATATATCGGTGGACCACGCTGAATTCATACAGATATAAAATTCAACCCGATACGTCGTATCGATTTATCGATATCAACTGGCAAACCTAATCGGCATATGGAGATCATTCAAACACGGATATGAAATCGAAACAAGCTTTAGCAAATATTATTAAGAGCAATAGCTTGATTCTGGTGGTAGTGAAAAATTCCGATTTTTTTTATTATTTTTTGATCTGAAGTTTGAGGCCAATATCCAATCAGTACTGGGGTTCATTCCTCGCGGATGAAGTTGTCGGGTGTGAAAATAACGACTCACACTATCTAGTGTTAAGGTTAAGAATGCGTGAAGCTATCCCTCCACTACACCATACGTATGTACGGCGTAGTGCTCAGTTGAACACCAGAGACTGCTTAGTTAAATAGTAGGGACAGCCTTTATATTTTATTCCAGCTTAAACATTTTACATCTAAACGGAATCATATGTCGTGTACCTACTAAACTTTATAGCAAAATATAATTTTTAGGCTTGAAATTGGAAGTCGCAGTTTTAGAAATTTGTGTGAAAACCGCTGTAGATCGCGTAATAATGCATTCCTCGTGCTGAATGAGAATCTGTGACCCAAAATCGCGCATTAACATAGTAGTTAACAGGACACGAAATGCTAATTCCAATTTTTGTAACAGAAGGATCACAGCCAAGCTGGCGACGACTGTACAGTAACAGCAGCAATTTGTGAGAGACAAAGTAGGCATAATCGTGAATGTAAATTGCGGCTAGCTGTGCGCTGAAGTCATTCAGTGTTAACAGGAATCAGCAGCAATAATTTAACTGGCTATAAATATATGGCATAAGTAGCTAAAAAGCTTCCGGGCAGTTTTCAGGTATTTTCAATTGAAGCCGTGCTAGGACGGCAACTTCTTCACTATAATTGTTGTGCGTATAGCCGAAACATTAAATTGCAGGCGTTTGTCTGATTGAAAAACACGTCTTCAACACAGCGCATCCAGGGAGCGACGGATTATATTGAACCGAGTCAAACAAAATTCCGATTTTTTTATTATATTTTGATCTGAAGTTTAAGGCCAATATCCAATCAGTACTGGAGTTCATTCCTCGCGGATGAAGTTGTCGGGTGTGAAAATAACGACTCACACTATCTAGTGTTAAGGTTAAGAATGCGTGAAGCTATCCCTCCACTACACCATACGTATGTACGGCGTAGTGCTCAGTTGAACACCAGAGACTGCTTAGTTAAATAGTAGGGACAGCCTTTATATTTTATTCCAGCTTAAACATTTTACATCTAGACGGAATCATATTTAGTGTACCTACTAAACTTTATAGCAAAATATAATTTTTAGGCTTGAAATTGGAAGTCGCAGTTTTAGAAATTTGTGTGAAAACCGCTGTAGATCGCGTAATAATGCATTCCTCGTGCTGAATGAGAATCTGTGACCCAAAATCGCGCATTAACATAGTAGTTAACAGGACACGAAATGCTAATTCCAATTTTTGTAACAGAAGGATCACAGCCAAGCTGGCGACGACTGTACAGTAACAGCAGCAATTTGTGAGAGACAAAGTAGGCATAATCGTGAATGTAAATTGCGGCTAGCTGTGCGCTGAAGTCATTCAGTGTTAACAGGAATCAGCAGCAATAATTTAACTGGCTATAAATATATGGCATAAGTAGCTAAAAAGCTTCCGGGCAGTTTTCAGGTATTTTCAATTGAAGCCGTGCTAGGACGGCAACTTCTTCACTATAATTGTTGTGCGTATAGCCGAAACATTAAATTGCAGGCGTTTGTCTGATTGAAAAACACGTCTTCAACACAGCGCATCCAGGGAGCGACGGATTATATTGAACCGAGTCAAATAATTTTTTTATTCTTTTGAGCTTAAAAGTAAATTTTAATGCAGAAGTGGGTTTACACCTCATTGCACAATTTCCAACCGGATTTATTTACTTTTAATCAAAGATCTTCTTTCAGGCAAATGATAGTCTTCAATATTGTGAAGGTCGTATATATCAGTGGTATTCAACCTTTTTTGTTCGCTTATCCCCAGATATAATTTCTCTTCAACTTTGTACCTCCAAAGTTGTTGGTGTATAATTCAAGTTATACATAGTATATAATCTACATCTAAAATAAATTAAATAAATTACATTACTGATTATTCAGTGTTATCATAAAATAATATTTTATAAAGAGTTCATTTTAATGTGTTTTGATAAATATTTATTTGATACAAATTGCACAAAATGAAGGTCATACCAGAGTTTAATCTCATAATAAATAACAATTCATAATCTTGGAGTTTTTGCAAGAAATATACGTCACAAATGGCTGTTTTGAAGTTCAGTTACTGAAACATTGAAATTAAAAAAAATTTAAGCTACAAATTAATGTACTCCTTTTTGGATTTTGCTATTTTTGTGGGATTGTCACAGCTGACATAAATACAGATGCTACTGATTTTCTGCATTGTATATATAATTATTCAGTAATTACTTATATTAATTTATCTTATTTGACACATCATACATTTAACAGTACAAGACATTTTTTATTGATTGCACTAAGTTGCAAAGATTACTCCACTTTCTCCATGCATTAAACTCCCTTTAAATAAGCTCTGCAGATGAAATTTGCTTATCTTTTTAAAACCACATTTCTCCAAACCTTCACTTATAATAATATCAGAATTATCAAGAAGCTTGAAATGAAAATAAATTAATTTAATTTATAATCAGAACATCACTGGTCTAATCACATAATACATGTGGCTCACTCGATGAGTAATGATGCAAACTATTCTGTTACAGTAAGGTATAAAATTCATTATTTCATTTTTTGTGTTTTAAAGTAGTGATAAGAGTAGTTTCAGAGTGGGGATGATGGATATATATGAAATATATAAAATCATGCATTCACACAAAACCGTTTACATTTGAAAAGACAATTACTGCCAAACGCGTTTTGACCTCAGGAAGTTTGGCACTAAGTGTCTTTTCAAGTGTAAACGGTTTTGTTTGAATGCATGATTTTATATTCTAGCATCTTGTTATCGGGTTATTCAGGAACATATACTGTGGATACTTTCATTACATAAAACAAAACTTTTCAGTTCACTGTTATATTTTAAATGTTACACATTAAACATTAAATGTTCCATGTAAAATTTAAAATATTATTATAAATTATCTGTGTGATGGAAATATTACATACGTGTGAAATGCGCACACAAATAAAAATGGACCAATGAACAAACCCAAAATTCTTTACCAATCTTTGGCTAACGTGCATATATTTTTACATTAACTTATCCTACTGTAACCAGAATAAGAGTGCACATACCAATTATTATGCAGAAATTAATAAACTACAGAAAGGCAGGGATTCCCATGTTCACTGTCCTGTTTCCAAAAAGACATGTTTGTTTTTTAAATAATGCTATTTAAAAAACACTTAAAAAAGAGCAGATAATTCAAGATATCTGTCTGAAATTTGGAAGACAGATCTGGGATTTGTGGAAATAGCACCAACACTTCAAATACTTTTCCTCATGTATTTCTTTGGAGAAAAATATTTCTAAGTGAAAGCTACTTATTGCTGTATTAAAATAATTACCTATAAACCCAAAAAATTATACCTGAAAACTGTGCAACAAAACCAAAATTATTTGCGACAATCTAAAAATGGAAAATTACTTATGAAAGATCAATTTAATAACTGACTGTATCTGAGAAATTAATAACTCCAGACCTTATGTCAGAAATGAAAAAAAAGCCTATTAAAATGGCTACTGAACATGTTCCAACAAAATTCCAGTTATATTTTATTAGTAAAATTTTTATATAAATAAAATGGGGAAATTATACAGATTATTAATACCATTGTCTCCAAATAACCAAAAACCTGGTAAAGTTACATGAAGGTTTACTGATTTTCCAAAAGTTTTCAAGACTTCTCTATTGCTAGACCTCTTTCCTGCCAATATACACTGACAAAAAAAACAACCAAAGTTTCGTCACTTATGAACGGGCCCATGGGAAACATTGCCATGATAATACAATAAACAGAAGCAAATATATTAAATCACAGATATGTTTACAGCATTAGATAAAAATATGTAAGTAAAAATCACAAACTATATATATATATACTGATAAAAACTGAAAGTTACCTTCAAGTAGTTAGAATCTCAGATGGATTTCCTTTCTCATTTTCATCTTTCTTTGTCATGATTGATGATCACTATTGAGAACATTCACTTTCCTATAAATATAGTAATACTTTCAGTCTCTCCGCATACACAACACTAACATCACTCGTCTGTTGCACAATGTGTTCTCTAAAACAGATACCAACAATTTTCTTAAAAAAATCACACATATGTATATATAGCTGTCCAGGAAAAAAACCCACAAAGAACAAAGCATCAATTATGTATAGAGTACTGTCGTACAAAAACATTTTGCCTGAGTACAAGGGGAAGGGCAAAAGTACATCGTAGTAATTCATTTTGCCTTACAATTAATATCATGAAGCATCTCACTAAACTCTTTGCTTTGTTTTAAAAATGTATTTCACTGACTGTTCTCATCAGTATATTCTGTACTTTAAAGATTGCCATAGGTAAGACATTAAATGCAGAAAAAAGAATAAAAGTTGGCATATGGACATTTGCTTGATTTTGGGCCTTGCATGTTATGTATTTAGATTTACTAGTGTATTCTGCCTCTCCAGTCCTAAAATCATCAAATTAATTAAACCCCTTTTGCTCTTACAAAAGTTTTGAAATTGCTAATTTATTGTATGTGAACCAGCGTTCATGCCAGGAACAATATACAAACAATGTTACATGAATAATCTGAGTGTGATTACATCATATCAAACTGAAAAGGTAAATCACAATGAATGACCTACACTTTTGGCCAATAAATATATAATTTATGCTATGAAATATAATTCTTCTTTCTCCTATATTGACTTTATGTGGGTCATCTAAAATGCATCATACTGTATCTATAGAATTATATACCTCCTGGTCACTCTTAAAGATAATTCTGTATGAGAAGTTTCTGATCATTTTTAATACTGAAAATATTGAATATCAATAAAGCTTTGCTTTTTAAAAAGATTTATGGGCAAATAAAACATGAAATATCAATTTGCAAAGAAAGGCATAACAGTTCAGGAATTCCCCATAAATGCTATACAACCATAACATGTGGTTAAATATATGTGATATTGAATCATATACAAAGGAGTAAATTTTAATAAAATGCATTACAAAATACTGGATAAAAAATGAGTTCCCTGAAAATGCTGAAGACTGATATAAGCATTTCATCAACAAGTACTTCAGAGCCATGTTATTTATGCTAATGGAGAAGTCTATTTATACCATAACAGATAAATACGAGGTCCAAAATCCAGCCAATGCAGAGAAAGGTTATTTTTTAAGCTCAACTAATGCATACCTACACACATATATATATGTACATATTTCCTACATCACATTACATTTTACAATACAAAACACATCATTACATTTATATACTATACTATTTTATAAGTCCTCTCTAGTTTTTGTGTGAACATCTTTCTAACACCATTTAAATACCTGCTTGACTTTATTTTTACTTTTAACATATATTTTTTGTGTTTCCAGAACATTTGTTTTAACTCTCTGATGAACATATAAAAATATTCATTATTATAATATATCTTACAAAAACTCATCTTTGCCTTAGAAATTTTTAACTTCATTTGTACAAGGCACCAATATACACATTTATATAGAAATATTTATATAAAAAATCATTATGAATGTATGCTGTCTTCTGGAGTTGCAATACAAAACACTCTTCGTATTTATGAAGGACCGCCTCATGTCAAGACAAAAGAAAGCAGAAGTCTCATAAGCAGCTGATTTTGCTCTTAATTTTATTAACTCTTCCAAACCACAATTCAGGAAAATTAATATGTAACACTTTAAGTTTATGATAAATAAAGAATTGTATAAAATGTCAGTCTGTTTAAACCAAACAACAGAAGTGCTTAAAGAAAATAGGTCAGATTTACGTATAAAATGAACTTGAAAGTTTCATGGAATCATAATTTACTATTAAGATAATGCATTTTATTTGGCCCAACTTTCCCTTGCTTTAACCCTTATACCGAAATTAAATCACCGATATAGACGTTCCTGTACAAATGGTCTTTAAAGACACAGTTCAAGTTTCCTGTCAAGGTACATTGGGCTTATAAAGGTTAATGTACAATGAGACTTTTTAATATTGTACCGGGATACAAAAGTAAAACAAATGCATTAAAGATGACACTTCCACATCATTTTACCTTTAATTCCAAATCTGTTTCTGTTAGAGTAATGAGTAGGTGTCAATAAGTCTGCAGGAGAGTAAACTACATGCTTGTGCGGTGCAGCCTACAACCCCCTAGCGCTATTTTCCGTTACTATGCTTCTCCATATACCAATTTTCTTACATAATGCACTAAAAATCTGGAAGATAAAGAAATCTCTTAGAGATACATACAAAGGATAATACAATTCCTAAGATTTTCCATATGACACAAATGTCACAATAACTGATAATATTTATTCTATGTTCATGACTCACAATGATGGTATCCTACCTCATAATACTCCACATAATATCTAGACACTCACGGTCCATCATACATGTACATCCATACAATATACTAGCTGTCAAACATTTTCATTGCACAAGGAAAGTTTACAGAGCAGTTACTATAAGTAGGAAGCATCATCAGTAAATCCTTGTACAGACATCGAGACAAGGCTACCAAATTACAAGCAGTTTACAGCTTACATAACCTAAAATCTCAAGAGAAATACAACTTTTAAAGTTATATAACACAAAATAAAAAGCTGTAATGTGTGGTATGGGTTTTCATGTGGGTTACTGCAATATCAGTCATAGCCATACGTATGGTGACACATAAAAATTCATGTTTTGTGATGGGGATTGTAGGAATTAGAAAATGCCAATCTATGTTATCAACACAGAATAACTGCCAGGTACAGAGCTCTCTAAAAGCTCTTATTAGTTGCTCTGCTAGTCACCGAATTTCCTGCCTTTTCTGGAAAATGAAGGTTTACGATCATGGTCACAAGAGCCCACCACTGGACCCTGTCCTTACTTAGCCAGATGGATCAGTCTACATTCTCACACCCCATTTCCTTACTACTGACATGCTGGAAGAAATTTTGGATCCATGTGATTCAAGTTATTTCATACTCTATTAGCACGTGTATAAACACACACATGCTTTAATGTCCTTGCAGATTTTTTAGAAATTTCAATTTAAAACCAATATCCTAAATACACAAGGTAGAGAATAAAATATATGACAGCATGAACAAACTGCATTAAAATAAATAGTCTGAAATGGTAGTGCAGACTGTTCTGTCTATATTCCCCCGACTAGGACTGGAGAGATGTATGAAATGCACGGCCATGTACGATCTTACGGCAATATTAGCAAAGGGGGTAATCAATGGAAATGTGCTATATGTCATTACATTATGTACCAAATTATATCTGTAAAATAACATAACAACAAAGAATAAATACATATAACAATTAACTCATTGCTGACAGTTCATCATTTTAGCAGCACCCTTTCCAATAAATGCACCTTCCAAGCCCATAAATTATAACACAGTGCTATGTCTTTGTAACATACCAGCACAGATGGTTTGTAACACTTATCAATGCTCTAAAAAGTACAGAATCCACTACCATAAATAAAAAAACCTTAAATACAGTGCGAGTTAAGATTGGAAAAAAGCCAAATTAACAAATAAATTTTTTTTATTTAACTCATTCATCTTGATGGTGTCATATGTGATGGGAATGTTATGTATAATAAACCAGAAAGAACAGAGGCAAGGTGATATCCCAGCATGGTCTGTATTCTTCCTTTAAAAAAAATCATCACAGCATTGGCACCTCAGTCAGTGAAGTAAATGACTATGGGCTGTATAGCCATTACATTCCATAGATACATAAGTTAGTCAGATGACAAAGGGACATGGATTGAAATGTTTTTTTGTCATTCTATACAGAACCACTCTGGGACACACACCCTTGACCCTTACAGTTGGTGCATCTTTTATTTAAGATAATCATAATTGCAAATATAAGGGTAAATGGCCGACTCTTCCATGGGGAGTAGAGCAAATGGAACAAGAAACATGTTTGTTTTCTTTCAAAGGAATGTTGTAATTTTATGACAGAATGTTGACTGAGGAAGATAAATTCTTCAGATTACAAAAATGACAAGGGTAATTTTGCAAGGAAAATTAGTAAAAACCCACTACCAAATGAACATATAACACAACTGAAAATACAGTTATGGTAAGGACACTGCTCATTCTGAAACAAAATCTCTTTTGACTGTAGATGGTGTAAACCCACCTAAATTTATGTACAGCAAATCATTTGCAGTGAGTTTCCCACTTCACCTTTATCAGGGTAGAAAGTATGAACCACGTATGAGCTGTTGGAAAATCTTAAATGATAAAAAATAGACTGCCCCCTAAATGAAATTTTAAATGGATTTGATTTTATTCTCTTGTCTTGGATAAGAAGACTCAGTATAGATTGACTGACCTTTGAGGCAGTTAAAATATTTTTAATGCACAAAATTTTAGATGAACATTTGAAACACAATGATGAAATTCACTTCCAAATACCGAAGTTATTACAACACAACCAGATAACCTTGAGCTTTTAGGTATGAAAAGCATAGATCAAATAAAATTTATATAATTATACAAAAACATAACAATGCATAGAAAGTATACTCCACAACTTGTGAGATATAATATCACTAAGGTATATACATTACTGGAAGGCTAAGGAGAATTTCGTGCCCTAGGTACAGCAGAACTTAAAGCTATGAAGTCTTGTAAAAGAAACATCAAGCAACACAAAAAGCCCAACTTGCCTAACAAATGTGATTTCACTAATATAAAGCATGATTATTGTACTGAGATATCAGAAAAAATTCACAGAAACTCACATTATACTATAGAAACAAATGCTGATTATCACAGAATATTACATCTAATTATGTTGGGGAGCAAACCCTGTTGCTATACTGCTGCCAGTATTATTTCTTTAAGATATTTTCATAGTTGTCACAAACAAAGAAGGGATGATACAGAGAGGACATTTAACACCCCCCTCCCCCCCACAAAAATAGACATTACTGCTGGACAACCTCACCCACTTAAACTACAGCTAAAACATTGTTAGAATATCTTGTACTCTATTTGCGTGAAGTCTCAGTATAGTAAAACATAAAAACAGTACAAGAAAATTGCTTCTAACTGAAGTATGGAGGAAATAATGATAATTAAAATGTAATTTTCAAGACTTAGCAGAAAAGTTAAATGATCATTGACACAGTAAACTTTATACAATCAGCGGAGAACAACGAAATTCCTTGCAAAAGAATAAAGTAATGGTTAAGTACAGTACAATTTTGAATGTGCCCATATAAATCACGACTACCATATTCAAAAAGGGATACATATATCATGCCAGAGAAGAGGGAGGTGTATTAAAATAAAGGTCCCAAGGGGAACAGAGCCTCTTTTATAAGAGTGATCAAATTCTTTTTCACTTTTACTCCACCACACATTAAGACCTCACACAAGTTCCAAAAGGGAGTAACATCTTTTATGGTAGAATGTTCCAGTAATTTATCTCTATGTCAAGACATTAACAGATTAGATAACTTGCATTTTTGTGAATACATTTTTAATATCAATAAATAAAGTTTAAAAGAAGGTGCTGAAAAATAAAAATAAAAGAATTATTAACTGATATAAGAGATATATATTTAAAAGCACAAGCGAAATGTTTGTGAATAAAAATATTACACCTCCCATTAAGTATTGCACATTTTGTCTGGCACACTTATCAAAGGGTGGAAAATGGAACATTTGCAGATTCTGTTGGTGTCAGCTGATTGTACAGAAACTCTCCCCCTGATCCATACATAGGAGAAACATACACATTTCAGAGGTATCTACTTACTAGAGTAGAAATGCAAGTCTTACTAAAATGTGTGGTACAAATTTATGACTGCTAAGATGATGAATGTTTGTTCAGTTCATTATGACTCAGTGTTTTCCTTTGGATTTGTTTTTTCAGACTGTCTGAGAAAATTGTTTCTGAAGATTTCTCCTCCTGTCTTCTTTCTGCTTGACTGGTAGGAGTATTTGAAAAGACTGGGTCTGTTGAAGTAAGGTGTGATTTATGTTTTGTGTTTCTTTGATGCGAATTGAAAGCTGAATATTGGGTTTCTTGAGGTGAAATGTTCTGTTGTTCAGGAGTGACTTCTATTGTAGGGTTTGGGTTATTTTCTCTAGTAAAACCATTCTGCACAGATGATTCTTGTAGAGTTTGTGCAAATCTTGTTTCAGACAGTTTCTGCTGATGTAATCCATTGTCAGTGAATTTCGATGTTTCATCACCTGCAACATCAGAATCCTCTTCCTTTTCTACCAAATATGCTTTCCTGAGAGATGCTTTGTGGTTATGACTATGTGTAATATCCCTTCCAATGTCTTCAATTACTTCAAGATCATCTGCACCTAATTCATCATCAAAGTCTCCCCCCAAGTTATCATCATCAAAATTCTCTTCATATTGCTGAAAGTCATGTGCATCCCCAAAATCTTCAAATTCCCTTCCCTCTTCTGAAGTACGAGGAATCTGGAGTTTGTTGATCTTTGATTGAACAATGTTGAGATGTCTTAAAACATACTCTTCATTTGGGGCAAGTCTATGAGCACGAGTCAAGCATGCTTCAGCTCGTAGCAGGTTTCCTCGTTCCACATAAACCACACAGAGGTTGTGCAAGCCCTGAATATTTTCAGGTTCAAGTTGCAAGATACGTTTGTAGCACTGCAAGTAAAAATATATATTAACGTTTATGCAAAATATCAAGAGCTTCTAATATGAAACAACCAATTTATTAGCAAAGAAAGGCAACAATAAAATAACAATAGCAAAACGAAAGAACATTTCAATTTCAGTGCTGCACAAGGTCAAAGTAAATTATAATATGCATGAAGTGTAACTCTCACATGACAGAAAAGGCAACAGATTAATCCTGGGAGCATATTTTTAATATGAATATAATTTAATATTTATCACATGACAGATCGAAGAGTAAGAAGGAACATATTCTCTAACTAGTAAGTAAATTACATGCACCACTCATTAAACTCACATTTTCGGCTGCATCCAAATCTTTAATGGTGTTAATATAGATATCACCAAGTAAAATAAGTCCCTTGACGTGGTCAGGATAGAACTTGACCAACTGATTTAGAAATGGAGCTGCTTCCAATGGACGGTGATCATCTGTTAGTAGTAGTGCTAAATTAAATAGGGCACTGCGGAAATCTTCTTTCAGTTGAACTGCACGTCTGAACCAGTGCTCTGCCCCTGCAATATCTCGGTCATCCATTGCCAACATGCCCAAGTTGAAGTGCACTCTTTCATTGGTTGCATCCTGGAATGCATATGAAAACTTAATAAATTCTGTTGTATTCTGTTTGTTGTCTTGAAATGAAACCAAAAGATGTGGGCTGATTTCTGAAGGCCTTTTTGTCAAATAGAAATATATTGAATACATAAAGTCATGTCACAAATTTCTCATTAAGAAATATCCTAAACCCACATATTTCATTCCTGTACGCTCATATATTCTGAGTATTTTTTAAGCACTTACAGTGCACATTCTTCACTCAAAATGAGGCCATGTTTCACAACCATATGAAACAAATGGCTACATTATTGTTATATATATATTCAGCTTAATGGTTCACACAGTAGATATAATTATAATATCAGTATTTGAATGGAATAATAATAAATATTTCTGGACTTTTTTTGGGCTTAATTTCAACAAAATTATTTTTATTTGCTATCATTGTTTAACTATGTGTCTTCTTTACAAGAATTTCAAGGACATTATACTTTTAATCACAATTTATAACCATTACAACATAAACCACAATTAACATAACCACCATGACAAGCGTAAAAGGTAAGACAATTAATGAACAGGCGTACAGAAGTAAAGGAGACTCTTCATATATCTCATGACTTAACTGAAGTCTGATTTTGTTAACGCAACTAACCTTACGCAGTAGTTTAAGCAGTCTTTCTCTGGCCACTTTACGAAGCTCTGCACGACCCAACTCTTGAAGCAGTATGGCAGAATTGAGTAAGGCCTGTTCATGTTCTGGATCAAATTCAAGAGCTTTATCCAAGTAGGCAAGAGCCTGTGAAGCCTTCCCTTGCTCCAAGAAAACCACACCCAACTGAAATCAGAGATTGAAAAAATTATTCTCTCTCACTAGGATATCCATGTTTCCACGAATATGTTCCAATAATGGTAAAGCAGCAGTTAAAACTACACAATGTGATAAAAGTATATGTATAAGCCTGAGCAGCCATGATAAAATTCTTCAGAAGTACAACAGGAAAATATAGAGGATACTGATTTTGGAATGAAGTAAGAAATAATGTAAATATTGGTAAATCTTCTTCTTTTTCTGGTTTAACAATGTTTGTACATTTTCCGGTACCCTTTACGAGTTCCCAACTTTTTAGTTGACTTGATGTATGGACATTCAATAGGACTCCTTGGACGAGGGATAGGCCCGTCACAAGGCCTCTACCTGTACACAGGACAACACAACACAGAAAAACATCCATGGCTTGAGTGGGATTCGAACCCACGGTCCCTGCGACCACTGCTAACACCAAAGAGAATTTATAAAAAGGCTTAAATATTTCAGTCATATGAAACAAATAAAGGATGACAGACTGTCCAAACAGAAAATGGAATCAAAACCAAAACAAATAGATTTGCGAAAGGACCAAAAACATGGTGGATTGACCATACGACAGAAAAACAGAAAGAAGGAATTAAACATGTACAGAAGTGACAGACTTAAAATTTGGGGTGGACAGGAATGGAAATTTGTATCTCATACCTGATAAGGAGATATGGTAAAAAGAGGACTAGAAGAAAAGGAAGAATTTATAAAGGATGTATTAAAAATAAAGTGCATTCCAAATCATCTGATTTTAACAAGTGTTATTTTGAAGGAAATATCCCATAAGAATAATATTAATACTTATAAATGTGGAAATATCACTAGAGGTCATAAGTTACATCTGCTTTGGAAATAACAGTCCTGAAATGTGACGACAAATAAAATTCAAGTTTCAGAAACATGTTGATGGAACATCTTGTTAGATATACAAGGATATACTCACATTGTAATATATGTCAGGATTGTTGCTGTCATAGAAGAGAGCTCTCTCATAGACCTCCTGAGCCTCCTTGGTACGGTTCAGTTTAAGTAGAATGTCCCCTCGGTTGATGTAGGCCTGTGTGTAGTCGGCACGCATGCTTATAGCCTGTCGGTATAACAGGTCAGCTTCTTCGAGCCGCGTCTCATTACGAGCAATCAGATTTGCCAGGTTCAGGAACACATTCAAGTGATTGGGAGCAATGCGAGCTTGATAAGACTTACCTGGCTTTGCTTTTGGAAGTAGTGATTTTGCCTTTGCAAAGAAAAAAAAAGTTTTATAAGGCACAGTATCAGAAAACCGGAAGCAAACAGATGGCTCGGGTGACCAAGACATAGATGGGGGATGATACAAAAATTATATCAGTCAAATAAAGTATAAATGTGTTAACTGGATTCAACTGACCCAGGAGGCAATAGATGTGTGCATGCTCGGGCTCACACACACACATTCATGTGTGCATAAACACACACAAAATATATCTAAATGCATTATATTTAGACTCAGACATTTAATTAAACAGATAAAAGTCATCTCAAATATTTATAATATTACAGTGACTGAAAAAATAATATCAATATGCAACTGATAGGCTAGCATGAACTACGTTACAGTCTAGGACTATAAAACAATAAAGAAGTATGGAAACCAGCAACTTTTAGTGTGCTACTCTATGTGGAGAAACTAAACTCTTTCCATCTAACGACTTCAGAATAAACAAGATGATGTAGAAAGACAGTGGAAAATGTTATTATCGTGGAAAAAAATATCTGGTATTCTCCTCGAGCAAGTATACCTGTATGTCCATACCCTTGTAAGTAGTCCTCGTGTTTTGTTTCTTTCAACCATATAATCACATATGTTATCTTATCAGGTGTTTCCTAGAATATGGTAATGGCAATATTGCACAGAGAAAAATATTACTACTATGTGAATCCTATTTCTGGCCAATAGTTGCTGACTTTAAAACAATGTTATGATAACCTAGCACCACATACATATTAAAACATAGTATAGTACCTTAAGATATGCATCTTCAGCCTCCTTGAACATTTTCAAATGGTTGAATGTTCGACCAACATTGATGTGTGCTCCAATATCATCTTGCTGAACACTACAAAGAAAAAAATCATTGTAACAGATGAAAACTGACAGTTATTTAGCAACAGTACATGGATGCAATAATATTATAAAGGAAATATAGCAGATTAGAGTGATTTACCCAAGTTTACAGATGGTCTTTGTAATTCCCAGAAACCTAGTGATATATATTTATAGTCTATTTAACAAAGCTTTTTCAGTGGCTCAGACTAATCAGTGTCAAATGGGATGATGACAGGAAATTGGAAGCAGTCATGGCCTAATTTAAGGTTTTATCTCAGCATTGGACTGCAGGGGCTGAGTAAAACTGTGAAAACCCCCTGTCAGGATGGCCAGTTTCTGGGCTGAGATTTGAACCTGGGGCCTCCTGAATATGAAGCAGGAGTGTTAACCACTCGACCACAACGTTCGGTAAACCTACTGATAGACCAAGAACAAGGTTAAGATATATATTTACATGGATCTAATACATCATTTATAACACATTTCCATCTCTCTGAAAACAAATAAACTTACACACATTAAAATTTACCATTCTGTTTTAAGAAAACTTACTCTGAACCCAGCTAAATGCCCCAAGTGAGGACTGTGGTTGTCACAACATGTTAAACTTATTTTTTTTTAAAAAAAAACTTGGTTCCTACCTTACAGCTTTTTGGAAGTATTGTAAAGCCTCATGAAAACGTCCTTGGCTCTCAAGTGCATGACCAACATTATTAAAGAGCTTTGCATTGCGCTGGTTCACTTTCAGTCCAGCCATGAAGATAGTGTATTCAGATTCCCAGTCCAAGTTACGTGCGTAAGTCTTACAGCCATGGACTAACAGTAGGAAGCCCACTGAAAGCCATGCCAATTTCTTAAACCTGAAACAATAAGATGTTCTGCATAAAGCAACAGTGAAAAGGTACATTAAATTACTGAAAGATCCACTCTTGATTCAGCTGAATTGTAACAAGAATAGATTACAAAATTACTTTGTTAAGAATAATGTTTAACTGTAAAATTCCTACGTCTTTTTCTTCTGTTTTGTGACCTATCGCAACAACAAAATTTGTCATGTTAACTAACGTGTGAAGATACACCATATTTCTCATGGACATTTTCATTTAAAAAAGTAGCCTATGGGCCATAATATAAAATATTTGCCCAAACAGTATACCTTTCATATAAAATATTTTAAAATTTGATGAGCATTTAGATAAGCAGAAAAGTTTATATAAGCCTTCAATTAAAGTGTCAGCTCTGAGTAATCAAAACGCACGAAGAGAAAATTTTTAAACAAGATATGAAGGTAAGAAAGCTACAAGAAAAGGCAACCAAATCAAGGAAACAGCATTACAGAAATGTGTTGGAGGGCAATATGATTCCTCTGAAAGATTCAGAAATGAATATTGGGACAGACACCAAGGACAATGTGGAAAGACCAAGTTATGGGAAATATACAAATGAGAATACAGAAAGAGTGCACACATGCAAGGGGAATGCTTATGGGATAAATGCATAGTATGGCTCACCCTGCTGTAAAAATCTGTGGAAGATGAAGATCATATATATTGACAGATTGC